TTCTAAACACAAACCTGCCCCTCCCTCTCCTGCTCAGAACCTGCCTTGAGCCCCGTCCAGGGTGGCTCAGGTGACTGGAGCATCGTCTTGTGCACCAGGTCACGGGTTTGATTTCCAGTCACGGCAAATACCTAGGTTTCAGGTTCGATCCCCAGTTGGAGGGGTGGACAGGAGGCAACCGATTGATGTTTCTCTCTCACACCCATGTTTCTCTCTCTCTCTCCCTTCCTTCCTCTCCATCTTCAGCCATAGTGTCTGCCAGGGGCCCTTTGTGGGAGTCCAGGCATAGCAAACAGTTCATCTCTAGCCCCAAAAGCAGCCCCTGGATTTCCCTGCCTCTGAGCCTTTGCACATGCTGCTTCTTCTGCCCTGAAGGCCTCTCCCCCTGACACAGAGTTAGCAAATATTTGTGGGATGGGTGCCAAGTAGGATTTTGGTGCATGTCTGTCCCTATGTTGCATAATGTATGTGTGAGGGTGACATGTTATATGGGACAAAGTGTCCGTCAGCTTTGGAGGGAGGCTGCACACAGAAACCTCAACAGCTCCAAGCATCTGAGAGGCTGACTCTGTGAAGGTCATTCATTCAGTCAACAAACATTTGCCCGGCATCTGCTAGTGCCCAGCCCAGTGTTGGGTGGCACTGACCAAGACAGCCACAGCCCCGCCCTCAGTACAGTGGTAGGACAGACCAGTCCCAGACAGGGATGACCCAGAGTGGCCTCACTACCGTAGGTAGGTTAGCTTGCTGCTGGGGTCCGGCTGATCGGGACTGGGTGAGAGGGCCTGACACACCCTGGAGCTCTCCCGCAGTCCCTCCCTGGCTGGCCGGCCCCCATCAGCCCCGATTGCTGGCCAGGCCGAGGGATCCCACCTGTGCACGAATTCGTGCACCGGGCCTCTAGTGTAGGTGTAAATCCTCTCCCTCCAGGGTTCCCCTTCTCCCTGAGCTCTCGCTTCCCCTCCATTCTTGCCCACCCAAGGACATCACTCCAGCTTTTCTCCCATCTTCTGCCACATCAAAACTTCTCCTTCTTCCGGATTATTCCCACCAGCATGCGAACCTGCCAAATCGCTCCCCTCTTCCCGGTCCAGGCGTTGCCTGTCTCTTATCATCCCACTCTCCTTCCCTCAACCTTCTGAGAAGGACTGTCTCCACTGGTTCTCCTTCTGGATCCTCTGCACCCACTCCAATTGGGCCCCTGTCCCCACCATGTCACCCCAACAACTTTGGTCACCAATGACTTCCATGTTGGTCAAGCCAGTGCTGTATTCTCAGCACCTCCCAGCAGCAACCAACACACTGGTCACCCCGTCTCCTGGCAACGCTCCTCACCCGGCTTGTAAGGCCTCCCCTCTGCCCCTGGTTTTCCTCCTACTCCATCCCAGTTCTCGTCACTGCTCAACTGCTATGCCTCTTAATTTTGGGTGCTCCAGGGAGCACTTTGGGGTGATTCAGAATGTGCTCCTCTTCTCCAGTTATACCCATTCCCAAGGTCATTTCATCTAGTCTTGTGATGTTAAGTGGCATTGAGCCCTTGCCCGTGTGGCTCAGTTGGTTGGAGCATCGTCCCATACATCAAAAGGCTGTGGGCTCAATTCCCGTTCAGGGCACATACCCAGGTTGTGGGTTCAATCCTTGGTCAGGGTGCATATGGGAGGCAATTGATTGATGTTTCTCTCTCACATTGATTTTCTCCTCTCTCTCTCTCTCAAATCAATAAAGAGTAAATAAACAAATAAATGGCATTGAGATGTCGATGCTTAAACATACATCTCCACATTAACATTCCCTCTGAACCCCAGAGCGGCACACTCAGCTGCATACTTCTCACCTTGGACACCTAATTGCATCTCAAACTTAAAGTGGCCAAAACTAAACTCCTGTCTGTTTCCCAACAACCTGTTCCTCCCTCAGTTCAACCCTATCTCAGTAGTTGCAGCTCCATTCTTTGAGGTGTTCTGGTAAAAATCTTATAGTACTATACTTTGTGAGTCCAGTATCACTCTCATACCAAACCCCAAAGATATTACAAGAAAAGAAAACTACAAACCAATATCCCTCATAAACTTGGACACAAAGACCCTCAACAAAGTATTGGTAAA